GAGTTTGGAAGTCTTCCTTCTTCTTGAATTTTTTGAAATAGTTTGAGGAGAATGGGTGTTAGTTCTTTTTTGAATGTTCGGTAAAACTCCCCCGTGAAGCCCTCCAAGCCTGAGCTTTTGTTTGCTGGGAGAGTCTTGATTACATCTTCAATTTCCTTAGTTGTTATTTGTCTGTTCAAGTGTGCTATCTCTTCCCAGTCCAGTTTTGGGAGACTATGTGTTTCTAGAAATATGTCCATTTCGCTTAGATTGTCGAATTTGTTGCCATATAATTGTTCATAGTAGTTGTTAACGATGTTCTGTATTTCTGTGGTATCAGTTGTTACTTCTCTTTCATTTCTGATTTTTTGTATTTGGGTTCTCTCTCTTTGTTTCTTGATGAGCCTAGCTAAGGGTCCATCAATCTTGTTTATCTTTTTGAAAAACCAGCTCTTTGTTTCATTGATCCTTTGAATTGTTTTTTGGTCTCCATGTCATTTATTTCTGGTCTGATCTTTACTATTTCCTTCTTTCTACTTGCTCTGGGGTTTTCTTTTTGTTTGCTTTCTAGTTCTTTAAGTTGTGAGGTTAGATAGACTATTAGAGATTTTTCTTGCTGCTTGTGGTAGGCCTGTAGTGGTATGAACTTCCCTCTCAGAACTGCTTTCGCTGTATCCCATAGGTTTTATGATGTTGTGTGTTCATTTTCATTGGATTCCAGGAAGTTTTTAATTTATCCTTGATCTCCTCAGTGACCCATTCATTGTTTAATAACATGCTATTTAGCCTCCATGTGTTGAAATGTCTTTGCATGTTCTTGTTGCCATTGATTTCTAGTTTCATGCCATTGTGATCTGAGAAGATGCTTGATATAATTTCAATCTTCTTGAACTTTTGGAGATTTAGTTTGTGTCCTATCATGTGGTCTATCTTTGAGAATGTCCCATGTGCACTTGAGAAGAATGTGTATTCTGTAGTTTTGGGGTGTAATTCTCTGTAGATATCTATTAAATCAATTTGGTCTAGTGCTTCATTTAGAGTCTTTGTTTCCTTATTATTTGTCTAGAGGATCTATCCAGTGCTGTCAACGGGGTGCTGAAGTCCCCTTCTATGATTGTATTGTTGTCGATTTCTCCTTGGAAGTCCTCCAGAAGATTTTTAATATATTTTGGTGCTACTATATTGGGTGCATATATGTTTATCAAGGTTATATCTTCCTGTTGGATAGATCCTTTCAATATTATGTGGTGGCCTTCTTTGTCTCTAGTTATGGCCTTCATTTTGAAGTCTATTTTATCAGATATGAGTATTGCTTCCCCAGCTTTTTTTCCCTTTCCATTTGTTTGGAAGATTTTATCCATCCCTTCACTTTCAACCTATGTGAGTCTTTTGTTGTGAGGCGGGTCTCTTGTAAACAACATATAGATGAGTCATGCTTTTTATCCAATCAGCTACTCTGTGTCTTTTTTGGGAGCATTCAATCCATTTACATTTAAGGTGATTATTGATATGTACTTATTTATTGCCATTTTTGTTTAGTTCCATTTTTCTTCCTATTTCTACTGCTAATTACAGCAGTCCTTTGAACATTTCTTGCAGTGCTGGTTTGGTGCTTATGTATTCCTGTAGTTTTCTTTGTCTGGGAAGCTTTGTATTTGACCTTCTATTTTTTTTTTTTTTTTTTTTTATCCTCACCTGAGGACATTTTCCATAATTTGTCAGACAGAGTGGGAGGGAGAGAGAGGAACAGAGAGAGAGAGAAATTTCGATGTGAAAAGGACACATCAAGTGGCTGCCACCACACCACCAACCAGGGCCAGGGACAAACTACAACTGAGGTACGTGCCCTTAGCGGCAACTGAATCCGGGTCTCTCTGGACTGCAGGCTGACGCTCCAACCGCTGATCCAAAGGCCAGGGCTGACCTTCTATTTTGAATGATAGCCTTGCTGGGTAGAGTAATCTTGGATTCAGATCCTTGTTTTTCATGACCTTGATTACCTCATGCCATTCCCTTCTGGCCTGTAGTGTTTCTTGTGAGAAGTCAGCTGAGAGCCTTAAGGGGGTTGCTTTGTAGGTAACCTGTTGCTTATCTCTTGCTGCTTTTAGGATTCTCTCTTTGTCTTTAATTTTTGGCATTTTGATTACTATGTGTCTTGGTGTGGGCCTGTTTGGGTTCTTCTTACTCAGGGCTTTCTGTGCTTCTTGAACTTGAATGCCTTCTTCCTTCACCAAATTAGTGAACTTTCCTGTCACTATTTCTTTGAATATATTTTCTATCCCTTGCTCATTTTCTTCTTCTTCGGGGACTCCTATGATGCGAATATTATTACATTTCCAGTTGTCCCACAGTTCTCTTAAGCTGTCTTCCTGTTTTTTAATTGTTTTTTCCTTTTGGTTTTCTGATTGGTTGATTTGTTTCTACCCTGTCTTCTAATTCACTGATCCAGTCCTCTGCTTCCTCTACTCTGCTGTTTAGACCTTTCAATGTGTTCTTTATTTCTGATATGTCATTCTTTATTACTTCTTGGTGGTTTTTCATTTGCAACTGGTTGATTTTCAACATTTCTATGTCTTTACTCATGGTGCTCATGTCCTTACACATGCTGTTGAGTTTCCTCAAGATCATGGCTCTGAATTCCAATTCTGTTAACTTGCTTAACTGCACCTCATTTATCTCATCTCGGTAGAGGTCTCTTGTTCTTTCATTTGGCATTTGTTTCTGTGTTTCACTATTTGGGCTATTACAGTGGGCTTTGGTGCCTGCCAAATTTTCCCTGTGGGTGTTGGTGTTCTGCTGTTCTGGCTCCCTCTCCTGTGTTTGGATGAGGCAGGGAGGACCCATGTTAAACACCACTGTCAAGTCTTACTTTCCTGGTTAGAGTTGCTAGCCCAGGAATGGTACCGTTGTCCTCTAGCTTTTTGCCTGGAGGCTATCAGTAGCAGTTACTTGCAGAGCCTTGGCTTCTCAGTTGAGTGAAAAACTCCCTCAGGTGTTCAGCATAAGGGGATTTCCCAAGGGTGGGGCAGATGCTGGTTGTTAATGAGCCTCAATTTGCATTTCAATGACCACCGGGTGGGGTTGAATATCCGAGGGAGGGGCCGCCGCCTCTCCCCAGAGCCCTGGAAGGAGTAAGATGACCACCATCCTGTGTGGCTGCAACTCAGGGAAAGCTCTGAGTACCCTCCAAATCCAGGATTTCCCCACACAGTTCCAGTCCAGTCCGCCTTCTCTCTGCCGGAGCCCAAGGTGAGTGGCTGTGGCTATTTTAATTTCTGTCCCTGCTCTTCGCTGTGGAGCCCTCGGAGTTTATCCCAAGGGCGCTGCTCACAGCTAAGGCTGCTGCAGTCTCTGGGCTCCTAGCCCCGCCCCCTTGTGCCTCTGCAAATCTACCAAGATCGAGTCAGGGTCCCTGGTTATAAGGTTCTCGCAAACTGCTTTTCTGTTGCTTTTTCCTGACAATTTGTCTTCATTTTCGTTGTAATTTCAGTTTGGTCCTGGGAGATGGTCTGTGTATCTTCCATTCACTCCACCACCATTTTGGAATCCATACGTCTATTTGTTTTTCCAAAATTATGACAGTGTAATTCTATCATTTCTTATTTGTTTTTAGCTGGAATTCTTTGATAAAGAGAAGTTACCTTTATAGACTATTTGGTTACCTGTGAGGTATAGCTCATACAAAAAAGACAAGATAAAGGCTGGATCCTTTCCCTTTGTCAGTTTTCAAAGTAATGAATTATTTCCTAGTATTCTCCAAAAGCAACCAGTGACAGTTGTTTTCCTAGTATCATTTGAATTTAAAAGGAATTTTTAAATGTTTCATGTTTTTTTTTTTTTTATCCTCACCTGAGGACATTTTTCCACTTTTTGTTCAGGTAGAGTGGGAGGGAGAGAGAGGAACAGAGAGAGAGAGAGAAACATCGACGTGAAAGGAACACATCAAGTGGCTGCCACCTGCACAACCGACCAGGGCCGGGGACAAACTGCAACCGAGGTACGCGCCCTTAGCGGGAACCGAACCCGGGTCTCTCAGGACCGCAGGCCGACGCTCTAACCGCTGAGCCAAACCGGCCAGGGCTTAAATGTTTCATGTGTTTTAATCAATCACAACTATTATTCTTATTGGTGCCTAAGTTGTCCCCTTTGGTCAATGGCAGGCTCTTCAAGTTGGCTCCTGAATCTCTCTAACATGACTCCAGTAGTCTTCCATAGCTTCCTTGCTCTCCAGTGTAATATCTTGTATGCTTCCTGTCTCAGTCCTGGAATCAATGTTTCTCCAAGGAGCGCTGATTACTCTTAATAAAAAATAGTATTTAGAGACCATAGTCTTGGCACTGGGTTATTTCATCATAGTCTGACTGCAAGGAAGACTTGTAAACTCTCACTAAGATTTCTCATATCTTCAGGAAGTGTTTTTTCAGATCGGTGCACCATCAGTGTTCACTTGGGTTGGTTGTGGATTTTTCACCTGCTGCTCTTCTTCTCTTTCAATTTATAAATAGCTGTCTGTGTAGTTGCATCATCGTCAGTTTGGTGACTGTAGATTGACAAGTAACAGTGTATCTTTGTATCAGTGGTATTTGGGGCCCCTAATTTACCAAAGGTAAATTATGCACTGTTTCAAGTGAAATCATTCATAATTATATTTCTCAAGCAGCTTTACCCTGTGAATACACTGATTCTTCTTTGTTATCATCAGGTTCTCTTTCTACCAAAGAATGGGAAGAGGTGATTAGGGGACCACTGGGGTGTGTTGACCCACTGAAGTGAATCAGAATCAATATATTTTGAGAGCCACTTCTTTAACGTGAAAGGAGGCAGGCATTGAGGAGATTGTGGGCTGGAGGAATAAAAGCCTGTGGTACCAGACCCACATATAACCTCCCATTTGGCAAAAGCAGTTCTGCTGTCAGAAGTATCTTGCCCTGATACTTCACAGAAGCCAGGTTCAAGAATACCTTTCTGTCCTCTGGGACGCAGCTGAACAGGCCTCTCCTTTTATTCTCTCCTCCCTCCAGTTTATGGACGCATGGCTCAATTCCCAGAAGGACCATGAGCGGGAGCGGGCCATGTGGTGTACTGCCCGGATTCTTGGCTTTGCTGCAAAAACAGATGACTACAACGTGAGTGGGAGCCTACCCTGGAGTCTGGGTCCTCATACCCCATCTGGTTGCCCTTATTTCTACCTTCATCACATCCATTACCTAGCCTCGGTCATTCATCCTCCTCCTCCTCCTCCCTGGCCCCATCCTGTTTTTTTTTTTTTTCAGTCCTCACCTGAGGACATTTCTCCATTTATCTTCAAATACTATGGGAAGGAGAGAGTGAGAGAGATAAACGTCGATGTGAGAGAGACACATTGACTGGTTGCCTCTCGCATGACCCCGACCAGGCCCAGGGACCGAACTGCAACCGAGGTATGTGTCCTTGACTGGAATCGAACCTATGACTCTTTCATCTGCAGGCTGATGCTCCAACACCTGAGCCAAACCGGCCAGGGCCCCATCCTGTTTTTTCTTATGCATCCCATCTTTGTCTGTCCTTTCTCCCTTCTGACATCTTCTAGTTGATCTTTTTTTCCATCCACCAATTGTAGTTTATTCCATGTGGTTCAGTTTGATGCTATTTGTCTGAACAAAGAGTTCCTAAATACTCACCTGTGCCAGGCATTGTGCTAGGTACTATAGCAAATACACAAGTGACCAAGACAGTTCGACTTCATGAATCTTACAATCCACTGGGGAGAAAGCCATGCATAGAAAAAACCTAAGTAGAAGATGATACTGAATATATAAACCAAATGTAGTGAGAATAGAAGATCAAAACAGCCCTGGCCGGTTGGCTCAGTGGTTAGAGCGTCGGCACGCAGTCCAGAGAGACCCGGGTTCGGTTCCCGCTAAGAGCGCGTACCTCGGTTGCAGTTTGTCCCCAGCCCTGGTTGGTTGTGCGAGTGGCAGCCACTCGATGTGTCCCTTTCACATCAATGTCTCTCTCTCTCTCTCTCTCTCTGTTCCTCTCTCTCCTTCCCACTCTACCTGAACAAAAAATGGAAAAATGACCTTGGGTGAGGATTAAAAAAAAAAAAAAAAGATAAAAACAAACAATTACAAATAAGGATGTTAGGGAAAGTTTCATAGAGAAGGAGGCATTTGAGCTAGGCTTGACAGATGAGTGGGGTGTCAAGAGGCAAAGAAGGGGGATAGAGTAAGGTCATTCTAAAACTACGATCCCTTATATCCTTTATGGCCACACTTCATCTATCTAATTCCATTCCCATTAACCGCACCCAGTCTTACCTTTTATGTCTCTAGCATGTGCATTCCCCTTCCTAGTTCTTTTCCTGTGATAACTCAGCCTAAGGAAAAGTCTGGGACAACTTGTGACTTCCAGCTTCCTTCCTCAGATGGGAACTGAGTTCACACAACTAGGGCGCTTGGTAAAACTGCTGGTCATGCGCTGCCAGGACCCAGTGGACAACATCTGCTTCCTGTCTTCCCAGGCTGTCTACAACCTCTACTGTATCCTTTTGAAGAAAAAAAGTATGGGGGACCAACCTTCTCTTATCACTCCCCTCCAGCCTTCCAGTTAGGCCTGGCCATCCCCACACACTCTATCCCAGAAGAGTGAGAGCCAAGAAGTTATTTGATACCTCATTTCCAATGAGGGACCTGCCCCCAGATATCTGCAGATAATCTCTTGGGACGAAATACCCACACAGGGATTGGTTCTTTTGAATGAGCTTGTCCTCCTGAGGTTGAGCCCCAGACTTTACCCAATTCTGTCTCTGCTCTGAGGCAGGCGAGATGGGGGTTCCTTTGACCTCAGCTCCCATCTTCCTTACCTTAATGCTATCCCTCTACTCCCAGCCCTGCAGGGTATGCATGGCCCCAAGCTGACCTACTTCAGTAGGAGTTTGGGGCTAGAAGGTAGGGAACAGGGGAGCCTAAGATGCCTTCTGAATGTCTCAGGGGTGGGATCGGTGTCTTTGTTTCAGAGATGAAGAAGAAAATAGAGGGCTTGTGGGAAGAAGAGGGCAAGAGTGAAGTTTATAGTGCCAACTTGTTCTATAAAAACACCTCTGAGATTGCCAAGGTGAGCAGCGGGACCAGAGACAAACTGGGGAGGGTCCGGGCCCCTCCTTTACAGGATATCATGGACTACTGGGGTAGGATTCTTATCCCATCTCCCTTTTCATTTCATGACTAGATGTGAACTTCTCCTTTGGAGGAAATTTTCCTGCTTTCTGCTACCATTTGTGCCCCCTTGACATTATGCCTCCTAACCCTTCTTTTTCACCTGTCCCCCTAGAAGCATTTGCTTCTTGCTAATGATGCTTTGTGAGCAATGTGTAGATTCCGCTGCACTTCAAAGAGATGCCACTGAGGGTCTTAGCCCCTGCCCTCCTCCCTGGTGCTGCCTCTGCAGCCACTGACCTCTGAACCCCACACACATCTGAGCTCAGTGTTTTCTCCCTTTCATCCCCACTCTGTCCCAGTGAAGGAGTCTCCTAGGAGCTAGGCAGATAGCACATGCCTTGGACAAAAGCACATCACGCTCCCAAGAGAAGCCCTTCCTAACCAGGAGGAGTGGCTATCTCAGGCAGGGGGACCCCTGCATCCAGCCTGATCCCCCCAGTCTGATCCTACCCTGTTGCAGGCATTCGCAGAGTACTTCAATGAGACCCAGCTCACCAACCTGGTACTGACAGCCATGGAGGAACTGACTGGCAGCAGGGCCAAGGTGTCTCTGGCTGCAGCCCAGTTGATGAGCGCTGTCATGAAGGAACGGGGCACAGACATGATAAAGGTGGTGTGGCGCCTGCCCCGAGTGTCAGGAGTCCGGGCTCTTCGGGCTCTGTTACTAATCAGCCGCAGGGCCCTGGCCAAGTCCCTCTCCTCAGCTGGCTTTCATTCACTCACTTGTACAATGCAGGCTCGCAGTAGATTTTCTCTGTGGTCCCACTGAGCTCTAACATTTGCAGTCCTGAGCTTGTAACTGCAGTGCTTCCTGTCTGGGTGGCTGCTCCCTCGGTCAATGACAGCCATGTACAGGGGTGCAGGCACTGTTGGGGATCCACCCTGATTCCCTGGGGTGTCACAGGGCTTGGACCTCTGTGAAGGACAAGGCTATGGATTGCAAACAAGCAAGTTTACGGAATGATTCTGACCTTTGCAGAAGTTTTCTTTTAGGCTAACAGATAAAAATGGGAAGGTTTAGCATTTATTTTATTTTATTGATTTAAAAATTTTTTATATGTATTTATTGATTTTTTAGAGAGTAAGAGAGATAGAAACATCGATGTGAGAGAGAGACATTGATTGGCTGCCTCCTGCATGCCCCCTGCTGGGGATTGAGCCCACAACCCAGGACTGTGTCCTGACCAGGAATCAAACTGAGATCCCTCAGTCCATAGGATGACGCTCAATCCACTGAGCCACACGGGCCAGGCAGGAAGAGTTAGCATTTAAAAATCGATGTTTCCCACGTCACTGAAAAACTACTTTAAAATGGGGTCACATAGGGCAACTCTGAGTGGCCACCATCCCCTTTATATGTGGCATGGGGTCTCAGACCCTGCTATCTCTGAATCCCCAGATACCCATTGCCTCCACTCATGTGACTGGCCTGGCCTAGGTACCAGAAATGGAAGGACATCGTGAAGGTGTCCTTGAGGCACTACAATGAAATCCTAGGGCCAGATGAGAGCCCTGTGGTCCTTCCACATTCAGTGCCACCGTCCCTTGCAGCCTCACGGGTGGAAGCTGATCTTAGCTGGGAGGGGAAGCTCCGAAGCGCCTCCAAGCTCTTGCCTTCCTTCTGGAGGGTCTGTGCCTCCTGAGGAAGCCGGGAGCTCCTCTCTGGACTTTGGAGCTGTGGGCAGGCATTTGCTATCGTGGACCTCGGCATGAGCTTCTGGAGTTCCTTCCGAGGCCCCTGCTGGTCTGGCCTCTGGACCCCAGAACTCTGCCTCGAGACGAGAGTCACCAGCAGGATTGCAACTAGGCCCCTTGAGTCTGAGGAGCGAGTACAGAGGGAGGAGGAGGCAAGGAAGGAGAGAAGGAATGACTGAGGTTCTCCCGGCTCGGCCCTGCAGGTGGAGGAAATTGTGGAGGGCGTCCTGGAACGGCTCAAATTGCAGCTGGAGCCCAGCACGAAGGAGGAGACCCTGCGGGCCATGTGCTTGCTGGCAGGCAGCAACACCCACAGTGTCCTGCCGTTGCTGCTCAACAAGCCCCTCCCTTGGGACAGGTACCTCTCCCGCTGCCCAGGAGCACCCTCTCCGTCCCAGTCAACCTTCCCCTGCTCCAACCCCAGCCTGTGACAAAAATCACTGCACACGGATGCGTTCTCCTTGATGCCAATCAAACTTCATGTTCTCTGGCCAATTCCTCTTGGACCTCACTCCCTCTAGAACCTGAGAACTGCCCCTATGTAGGCCTGAGACCAGACTGGTCCTAGGAACATGGTCAGCAGGGCCCATGACAGCCTTCCCTGGGTCCTGCAGAACAATTCTGGCCCTGTGGAAGGTGTTCGGCACCCAGAGAGAGACCACGATCAACGTCCTGCTGCTGCTCATAGGCATCCTGGAAAACCAGTCCTCAGAGGGAGCGACGGAGATGGCCCTCCAGCCTGTGGCGGTCAGCAGGAGGCGGGGAGGGGCCGAGGACTCACTGTCTGGGACTTGGGTGCAGAGCTGAAGATTAAAGGGCACCTGCAGGGTGGGAGCAGGTGTTAGGGAGCAGCGAAGAGGAGACGGTTAACACCGGACTCACTGATACCGCACATACAGTCAGCACTTTAACCTTGTACATCCAAGAACTGCGTGTTGTAGAAAGGCAGGGCTCAACCCCATTTTGTGGACAAGGACACTGCTGTTGAGTTAATCAGCTTTTTCTGTCTCCTGGTTGGGGGGCTGGCACTCATTTTTCTGGGGCCTGGCCAGTGGCTTGGGGGTGGTGCAGAGGATGAGGTTTGGTTGCCTGAAATTGGGGTGGGCAGAGTATGCCCCAAATCATTTTCTGCAGAAAATTTAGAGTTGGTTCCCTTTTTTTTTTTTAACCTCACTTGAGGATATTTTTGCCCCCAACCGGGGCCAGGAGCAAACTGCAACCGAGGTACATGCCCTTAGCAGGAACTGAACCTGGGACTCTCTGGTCCGCGGGCCGATGCTCTAACCGCTGAGCCAAACCGACCAGAGCCCCTTTTTGTTTTTAATGTTGGGGAATAGAGAGAGCAGATTGCATGTGTATGGCCCCTCATTTCCCTGATGAGCGGTGGGCTTTCAGTCTCTGGGTGCTTCTTGGAGCCTGAGTCAGAGTGTACTGTGCCCTTTGGGCAGTGACATGGAGGGGCAGGGCTGGACTCAGTGTGTGGGACTGTGGGACCATTTTATGTCTTTACCAGGCCTAGTCAATTCTCCTTCCCCCTTTCCACGTGTCCTCCCCAGGCGGCGTGCGCCTTGTGTGAGATGCTGTCTGGGTCCCTGTGCCAGGAGGCCATCCAGGAGCTCTGCCCTCGGCTGCTGTTGGCCGTGCTGCATCATCTCTACTGGGTGATTGAGCAAAATGCTCCCCAGAAGATGGTGGTCTACAAGAAGGATGGGGGCCCAGGCAATAAGAGCAAGACCTTTGACCCTACCAGGTAAGCCTAACCCCAGTGTGATGGAGGAATGAGACTCATCAGCTCCAGAGGGCCCTGGACAGCTGGATACCGATCCCCTAGGGCGCTGAGGATGAGGAGGGCAGAAGAGTAGAGCTAGACTATCGGTGTGGGTGCCGCAGCATCACCTACTGGAAGGTTCTCACATATTTTCTTTTTTTTTTTTAATGAATTTTTATTTATTTTTTTGTTACAGATATTTTACCTTTTTACCCCATTGGCACCCCCCACCCCACCCCCCCTCCACCCTGTCCCCGGCTTAGTTGTCCATGTCCATTGGTCATGCATACATGCATATAAGTTCTGTGGTTTATCTCTTCCCACCCCCCCACCCCCCATCCCCTCTTCTGAGGGATGTCAGTCTGTGCCCTACTTCCATGTGTCTGGGTCTACTGTATTCCTCAGACTGTTATGTTCATTATATTCCGTATATAAGTGAGATCATGTGGTATTTGTCTTTTTCTGCTTGGCTTCTTTCACTTAGGATAATACTTTCCAGGTCCCTCCATGTCGTCTCAACGGATAAGAGATCTTTCTTTCTTACCGCTGCATAGTACTCCATGGTGTATATGTACCACAGCTTTTTTATCCATTCGTCTACTGGTGGACACTTGGGCTGTTTCCAGATCTTAGCTATTGTAAATAGTGCTGCTATGAACATGGGGGTACATATATTCTTCCTGATTGGTGTTTCAGGCTTCTTAGGGTATATTCCCAGCAGTGGGATCACTGGGTCAAATGGAAGTTCAATTTTTAATTTTTTGAGGTAACACCATATTGTTTTCCATAGCGGCTGCACCAGTCTGCATTCCCACCAGCAGTGTACTAGAGTCCCCTTTTCTCCACACCCTTGCCAACACTTGTTGTTTGATGATTTGTTGATGGCGGCCATTCTGACAGGTGTGAGGTGATATCTCATTGTTGTTTTAATTTGCATCTCTCTGATGATTAGTGATGTTGAGCATTTCTTCATATGTCTCTTGGCCATTTGTATGTCCTGTTTGGAGAGGTGTCTATTTAGTTTCTCTGCCCATTTTTTAATTGGGTTCTTTGTCTTCCTTTTGTGGAGTTGTATGAGCACTCTATATATATTGGAAATTAACCCCTTATCGGATACATCATTGGCAATGATGTTCTCCCATACAGTGGGTTGCCTTTCCATTTTGATGATTGTTTCTTTTGCTGTGCAGAAGCTTTTTAGTTTGATGTAGTCCCATGTGTTCATTTTCTCCTTTATTTCTGTTGCCTTAGGTGATGTATCAGTGAAAATTCTGCTTCGTATGATGTCCGAAATTTTGTTGCCTACATTTTCTTCTAGAATTTTTATGGATTCACGGGTCACATTTAAGTCTTTTATCCATTTTGAGTTTATTTTTGTGTATGGTGTAAGTTGATGGTCTAGTTTCATTTTTTTACATGTAGCTGTCCAATTTTCCCAACACCATTTATTGAAGAGGCTGTCTTTACTCCACTGTATGCTCTTGCCACCTTTGTCAAATATTAATTGAGCGTATTGCCTTGGGTCCATTTCTGGGTTTTCAGTTCTGTTCCACTGGTCTATATGCCTGTTCTTGTGCCAGTACCAGGCTGTTTTGGTTACAGTCGCTTTGTAGTATAACCTGATATCTGGTATTGTGATCCCACCTACTTTGTTCTTCTTTTTCAAGATTGCTGTGGCTATTCGGGGTCTTTTTTGGTTCCATATGAACTTTTGAAGTATTTGTTCTAGTTCTATGAAAGATGTCGTTGGAATTTTGATGGGGATTGCATTGAATCTATAGATTGCTTTGGGTAGTATGGACATTTTAATGATGTTAATTCTTCCAATCCATGAACAGGGTATGTGCTTCCACTTTTTTATATCTTCCTCTATTTCTTTTTTCAATGACCTGTAGTTTTCTGCAAATAGGACTTTTACTTCTTTGGTTAAGTTTATTCCTAGGTATCGTAATTTTTTTGGAGCGATGGTAAATGGGATTGTTTTTTCAGTTTCTCTTCCTGTGAGTTCATCATTGATGTACAAGAATGCCGTCGATTTCTTGACGTTAATTTTGTATCCTGCTACTTTGGCAAATTCATTTATTAAGTCTAATAGATTTTTGATGGAGTCTTTAGGGTTTTCTATGTACAATATCATGTCATCTGCAAATAATGACAGTTTCACTTCCTCCTTTCCAATTTGGATCCCTTTTATTTTTTCTTCATGTCTGATTGCTGTGGCTAAGACTTCCAGTACAATGTTAAATAAGAGTGGCGAAAGTGGACATCCCTGTCTTGTTCCTGTTCTTAATGGAAATGTTTTTAGTTTCTGTCCATTGAGTATGATGTTGGCTGTAGGTCTTTCATATATGGCCTTTATTATGTTGAGATATGATCCCTCTATTCCTACATTGCTGAGCGTTTTTATCAGAAATGGATGCTGGATTTTGTCGAATGCTTTTTCAGCATCTATTGATATGATCATGTGGTTTTTATTCTTCATTTTGTTTATGTGGTGTATCACGTTTATTGATTTGCGAATATTGTACCAGCCTTGCATCCCTGGAATGAATCCCACTTGGTCATGGTGAATAATTTTTTTGATGTATTTCTGGATCCGATTTGCTAGTATTTTGTTCAGGATTTTGGCGTCTATGTTCATCAGGGATATTGGCCTGTAGTTTTCTTTCTTTGTAGTGTCTTTTTCTGATTTTGGAATTAGAATTATGCTGGCCTCATAGAACGTGTTTGGAAGTCTTCCTTCTTCTTGAATTTTTTGAAATAGTTTGAGGAGAATGGGTTTTAGTTCTTTTTTGAATGTTCGGTAAAACTCCCCCGTGAAACCATCTGGGCCTGGGCTTTTGTTTGCTGGGAGAGTCTTGATTACCTCTTCAATTTCCTTAGTTGTTATTGGTCTGTTCAAGTTTTCTATCTCTTCCGGGAATAGTTTTGGGAGACTGTGTGTTTCTAGAAATTTGTCCATTTCGCTGAGATTGTCGAATTTGTTGCCATATAGTTGTTCATAGTAGTTGTTAACGATCTTTTGTATTTCCGTGGTGTTGGTTGTTACTTCTCCTCTTTCATTTCTGATTTTGTGTATTTGGGTTCTCTCTCTTTCTTTCTTGGTGAGTCTAGCTAAGTGTCCATCTATCTTGTTTATCTTTTCGAAAAACCAGCTCTTTGTTTCATTGATCCTTTGAATTGTTTTTTTGGTCTTTATGTCATTTATTTCTGCTCTGATCTTTACTATTTCCTTCCTTCTACTTGCTCTGGGGTTTTCTTTTTGTTTGCTTTCTAATTCTTTAAGTTGTGAGGTTAGACAGTCAATTAGAAATTTTTCTTGTTTTTTGAGGTAGGCCTGTAGTGCTATGAACTTCCCTCTCAGAACTGCTTTCGCTGCATCCCATAGATTTTGTGTTGTTGTGTGTTCATTTTCATTGGTTTCCAGGAAGTTTTTAATTTCTTCCTTGATCTCCTCGGTGACCCATTCATTGTTTAATAACATGCTATTTAGCCTCCATGTGTTGAAATGTCTTTGCATGTTCTTGTTGCAATTGATTTCTAGTTTCATGCCATTGTGATCTGAGAAGATGCTTGATATAATTTCAATCTTCTTGAACTTGTAGAGATTTAGTTTGTGTCCTATCATGTGGTCTATCTTTGAGAATGTCCCATGTGCACTTGAGAAGAATGTGTATTCTGTAGTTTTGGGGTGTAATTCTCTGTAGATGTCTATTAAATCCATTTGGTCTAGTGCTTCATTTAGAGTCTCTGTTTCCTTGCTAATTTTTTGCCTAGAGGATCTATCCAGTGCTGTCAACGGGGTGTTGAAGTCCCCTGCTATGATTGTATTGTTGTCGATTTCTCCTTGGAAGTCCTCCAGAAGATTTTTAATATATTTTGGTGCTCCTATATTGGGTGCATATATGTTTATCAAGGTTATATCTTCCTGTTGGATAGATCCTTTCAATATTATGTAGTGGCCGTCTTTGTCTCTAGTTATGGTCTTCATTTTGAAATCTATTTTATCAGATATGAGAATTGCTACCCCAGCTTTTTTTTGCTTTCCATTTGCTTGGAAAATTTTTTTCCATTCCTTCACTTTCAACCGATGTGAGACTTTTGTTGAGAGGTGGGTCTCTTGTAAACAACATATAGATGAGTCATGCTTTCTTATCCAATCAGCTACTCTGTGTCTCTTTATGGGAGCATTCAATCCATTTACGTTTAAGGTGATTATTGATATGTACTTATTTATTGCCATTTTTGTTTAGTGTGGTTCTATTTTTCTTCCCATTTCTACTGCTAATTACAGCAGTCCTTTTAACATTTCTTGCAGTGCTGGTTTGGTGCTAATGTATTCCCTTAGCTTTTTTTTGTCTGGGAAGCTCTTTATTTGATCTTCTATTTTGAATGATAGCCTTGCTGGGTAGAGTAGTCTTGGATTCAGATTCTTGTTTTTCATGACTTTGATTACTTCATGCCATTCCCTTCTGGCCTGTAGTGTTTCTTGTGAGAAGTCAGCTGAGAGCCTTATGGGGTTCCCTTTGTAGGTAACCTGTTGCTTATCTCTTGCTGCTTTTAGGATTCTCTCTTTGTCTTTAATTTGTGGCATTTTAATTACTATGTGTCTTGGTGTGGGCCTGTTTGGGTTCTTCTTACTTGGGACTCTCTGTGCTTCTTGAACTTGAATGCCTTCTTCCTTCACTAAATTAGGGAAGTTTTCTCTCACTATTTTTTTGAATATATTCTCTATCCCTTGCTCCTTTTCTTCTTCTTCGGGGACTCCTATGATGCGAATATTATTACGTTTCCAGTTGTCCCATAGTTCTCTTAAGCTGTCTTCCTGTTTTTTAATAGTTTTTTCCTTTTGTTTTTCTGATTGGTTGATTTTTTCTACCCTGTCTTCTAATTCACTGATCCGGTCCTCAGCTTCCCCTACTCTGCTTTTTAAACCTTCCAATGTGTTTTTCATTTCGGATATGTCATTTTTTATCTCTTCTTGTTGGTTTTTAATTTCCATTTGGCTTATTTTCAGTGTCTCTATATCCTTACTCATGCTGTTCAGCTTCCTCAAGATCATGGCTCTGAATTCTAGCTCTGTTAACATGCCTAATTGCTCCACATTGATCTCATCTTCGGTGGAGGTGGCTTGCTCTTTCATTTGGCTTCTGTTTCTGTGTTTCACCATTTTAGCTATCACTGTGGGCTTTGGAGCCTGTCAAGTTCTCCCTGTGGGTGTTGGTGTTCTGCTGTTTGTGGCTCCCTCTCCTGTATTTAGATGAGCGAGGGAGGACCCAAGTTGAACACCACTGTCAAGTCTTACTTTCCTGGTTAAAGTTGCCAGCCCAGGAAATGTACTGTTATCCTCTGGCTTTTTGCCTGGAGGCTAGCAGTCTAGGTTAATTGATGAGTTTTGGGTTGTCAGTTGATTGAAAAACTCCCTCTGGTGCTCAGCCAAGGGGCTTTCACGAGGGTGGGGCAGATGCTGGCCGTTAGTGAGCTTCAATTGGCACTTCAATGGCCCACAGGGTGGGGTTGGATCTCCGAGGGAGGGGCTGCTGCCTCTCCCCAGAGCCCTGGGAAGGAGCAATGTGGCCACCGTCCTGAGTGGCTGCACTCAGCCAAAGCTCTGAGCGCCCTCCAAACCCCGAGTGTCCTGACACAGTTCCAGTCCAGTCTGCCCTCCCTCCGCCGGAGCCCAAGGTGAGTGGCTGTGGCTGTTTCAGCCTCTGTCCCGGCTCTGCACTGTGGAGCCGCCTGGGAGTGTAACCCGAGGGCGCCGCTTATAGCTAAGGCCGCTGCCGAGCTGCCGACCGTGGGCTCCCAGCCCCGTCTCGCGCCTTCGCAAGCCTACCGGGATGGAGTCAGTGTTCCTCGTTGTATGGTCCTCGCAAGCTGCTTTTCTGTTGGTTTTTCCCGTCGATTTGTCTGTGTTATAGTTGTAATTCCAGTTTGGTTCTGGGAGACGGGTGTGTAGCTCCGTTCACTCCGCCGCCATTTTTCGGTTCCTCCCTCACATATTTTCAAGTTTCTCCTTCCTCTTTTCCTTGCATGCACTCTCCTGATTCACTCAGCGGTTCACGTCTCTGTTCATAACTGCATGTGACAAGGTTCAGCGAGATGGTAAATGACAGGGCATGACCACGTTTGTGCCATTCTCTCGTGCCGCTGTGGCCACTGCAGTCCGGGTAATCTGGCATAGCTTTGTCCACTAGCTGTGCCATCTTGTGCAAGTCACGACTGCGATTTTCTGCGGTGAAATGGGGGTTGAACTCCTAAACAAGGGGTTGTCAAAAATTTTTTTGTTAATTTTTTTAAAATTCTCACCTGAGGACACTTTTTCCATTTATCTTCAGTCAGAGTGGGAGGGAAGGAGGGAGGGAGGGAGGGAGGGAGAGAGAGAGAGAGAGAGAGAGATGTGAGAGGCACACATCGATTGGTTGCCTCCCGCACGACCGCAACCAGGGCTGGGACTGAACTGCAACCATGGTACGTGCCCTTAACCAGAATCAAACCTGCACTTTTTTGTCCACAGGCCGACATTCTAACTGCTGAGCCAAACCAGCCAGGCCAGGGCTGTCATATCTTGTTTAAAACCTTAGAACATTCTAGTCAAGTGCCATCTTACATTAAAAAATAAATAAATAAATAAAACCAGTAACCAGAGACATTCTGATTAGGTGGGTGTGGAGGTGAAGACCTATACTAACCCTTCTCTGCCCCGGAGATCCGAATTTAAAAGCCTTGGCACTAGGATATCTCTCTAGTCTCTTGGGTAAGACTCTGTGGTTGGATGAGCACCAAGGTTGAAGGGGTGAGGAGAGGAGCATTTGGAGATGGTTTCACAGAGTCACGGGTTTTCATCAGCTAGAAAGCAGAACCCAGCTAGCTACCAGATCAGGGAGCTGTCCTGGCTTGTCAGCATCAGGATGCACACTAGGGTGTAACACATGTCCATCCGTCTGTCCCTTTCTTTTCACATACTCCATGACGACTGGCCTTCAGTTGTGCCCTGGAGGTGCTGAAGTTGGTGTGGCTGGCAGCTGCATACGATGAAGTGGTGGAATATGCAGATCAGCATAGGTGCTGGAATCTTCTGTCCTGCCCCAAATTTTACTACATAGGGATCATGGAACTGACCAGGTGGGACCATTTCCCCATCATGCCTAATAGCCTCTAACCCCAATTTTCCAGGGCCCAGCACTCAAATACAGCAGCCTTTAACCTTCCTTTCCTCATCTCCCGGACCTCAGCCTTCATGTGTTCCCTGTTCTGTGCACGCTGTTCCCTTGCCACCCCCTCTCACTGCCCGTCCCCCGCCCAGCAACTCTCGGCCATCTCTGTCCCTGTCCAGTGGCATTGTGAAGCACTGTGAACCGGCCATGCTGCTCCGAATTCTGAACCTTGCCAAGAACCTCCTCAACAGCTTAGACAATCGTCAGAAGATCCTGGCCAGGACCTTCTATGCGCAGGTGAAAACCACAGACCTAGCGGTTCGTTTCCTGTAGCTGAGGAACACTGAACAGAAATGTTCAGCAACTTGCTCCAGAAAGTATAGAGAATGGAACGGAGCATCTAAAGTGAGGTTCCCTTCCTGCCTGGTTACAAATGGCAGGGAAAGCCTGGGGAGAGGCTCAGCAGCTCTAGTCCTCCCAGAATGATTTTTGGACCCCAGCATCTGGCCCAAAATGCAGACTTTATGTGCATTGTCCCCATTGCCTGAGTCTCCACCCCATGTGTACAGATCTACTACTGCTCTCAACTGCTCGCAGTTCTCACCTGAGTATGGGGCCCGAGGGAGGGCTGAGGGGGGCACAGGGTACCCATGACTTTTTCTCCATCCAAAGTTGTAATCTCCTTGTACCCACAGCTCCTCTGGCACCGATCAGTGGCTAAGACTCTGGGGCAAGACTTTTTGGGCAATCTAATCAAGTGGGTCAAGGAGCCCAACCTAATCATGCAGGAACTCGGGCTCCGTGGAATCAGTAACCTGGCACTGCACCCAGGAAACGTAAGAGTGGGGGGGCCCAATGGGAATCAAATGTTAGTCTCTGAACCATTTAATTGACTTCCTTTGGGTCTCTTAATTACTCAGGGCTGAGGATATCCTAGGGCAGTACAACACTGAGTTTGTAGTCTCACATAGCCTGGCCCTCTGGCCTCCCACACACCCTGAGCACCAGCCTTCCACTTCCTCGGTACATTCAGCCCCTAGATGCCCTACATCTGTTTCTCTTAGGCACCATGTGTTTTCTCAAAACCCTGTCCCTAAAGTGTTGCACGATCCCCCAGTGGTCAGTGATCTCTGCCTTCTTCTACACAGTCAGAGTCTCTGAAGAGCCTGGTTCCATTCTTGCGAGACTTCCTGAAGTGTGAGGTGCGAGTGACAGTCCAGACAGTGAAGGCCCTGCGGAACATCATCTACCATGGGCAGGGAGAGGACATCAAGGTGGTCTTCTGCAGCATCTCCAAGCAACTGCGTCCACTCATCAATGATGTATGGGCCTAAGTCCCTAGGATTAGTTGGGAGCAGTATGGGCTGGGGTAAAGATGAACCGTAGCAGCTGAATTAAGGGTACTGGGGCAGGGCTACAGGACTGTGGTGAAAGGCTGAGATCACTGAGGGGCAGAAAAAAGGAGACTTGGCTACTTGAAGCAGTACATTAGACAGGTCCAAAATTCATTCCCTACACTAAAAGGAAAAAAGTGATATACTGATATGAAATTGGTTCTTACTCCAAGGATCTTCTACTGCAGACTTGAAGAGTAGGGAGAGAACTCATGACTTCTACCCTTCCAGACAACACTGGGACCCTGGAATGCTAGGAGCCTTGTCTCAAGAACCCAAAGGCTCAGAAATCTGAACTTCCCAGGCTAATACCAATTCACACTTCATGTCCCATTCTCCTTACAAATCAGAGAACTTTTGAGCTGAAGGGAATTGACATCAAAGATGTATGCTTACAGTACTCCTGTTCTGGCATCTATGATTTTTTAGTTTTTGAACCTTGCATTTGAATTATTATTGTTATTATTATTATTTAATAATGCATTTTTTCCATTTTTATTAATTTATTTTTGTTACAGATGTTTCTCCTTTTTCTCCCTTGAACTATTTTTGTATCGGTCTCATCATCTCTAAGAGCCTAGACACTCAATCCATGATGGCAGGGTCAATATCTGATTCACCTATTTTTCAGTTACTTTTAAAATCCAACATGTATTGTTCAACTTAACAAAGCCTAAAGATAATCTTTTTTTTTTTTTTTTTATCCTCACCCGAGGACATTTTTCCATTTTTTGTACAGACAGAGTGGGAGGGAGAGAGAGGAAGAGAGAGAGAGGGAAACATCGATGTGAAAGGGCCACATCGAGTGGCTGCCACCCGCACGACCAACCAGGGCCGGGGACAAACTGCAACCGAGGTACATGCCCTTAGCGGGAACCGAACCCGGGCCTCTCTGGACCTCAGGTGGACGCTCTAACCGCTGAGCCAAACCGGCCAGGGCCCTAAAGATAATCTTTACCCTTCATCCAAACAATATAAAAATCTTAGAATGCTTTAACTCTGATGATACCCTCCCATTTTATATGTCAACATGGTCTAGTATTTTAGTTTTACATTCTTTTAACCCCCTCCCCCCATTTGGTTTTTAACATCATCATCCTTGTTCTTATTTTATACAGTCAATACTTATTTAGATTTACCCATATGTTTATAAATTTATTTGTTTACCTTTCCTTTTCATAGCTCTCTCCTTCCTTCTAGATTCATGTTTTGGTTTTTTTTTCTTTCTTTCTTTTCTTTGTGGCTTCATCAGTGAGGGTCTATTAACAGCATATGTTTTCAATCTTTGAAAATTTCTTTATTTTGTCTCACATTTGTCTTTAGTTTTCAGCAATTTAGGATGCGTTGGCATGAATTTCTTTAGGTTTAGCCTGTTTGGTGTTCACTGAGTTTCTTTATGTCTTTTATCATACTTTGAAAGTTTTTAGCCATTATTTATTTAAAAAATTTTCAGCACCACATTCTTTCTCCTCTTGTTTTAGGAATCTGATGACAGAAATGTTGGACCTTTTGTTCTTGTCCCATAGGTTTCAAGATTCTATTCATTTTTAATCATTTTTCTCTTTGTTGTTCAAATTGGATAATTTTTGTTGATCTGTCTTCAAGTTCACTGATTCTTTCCTCTGACATTTCTGTTTTGATACTTAGTCTACTAAATTTGTATTTCTCAGTTTAAAATTTTCTCATGGCTTTTCTATATGTTTTCTATTTTTTTGCTGATACTTTCTATTTCTCTGTTTATTTCAAGGGTGTTCACTGTTGCTTTTTGGAATATTTTGTATAATGATTGCTTTAATGTTTATATCAGATAATTCCAACATCTGTTTCCTCTTAACTGGTATATCAATTGTCTTTTCCCATGTGAGTCAAGATTTTCCTGGTTCTTCACATACAGAGTAATTTTTTATTGTGTCTTTATAAATATTAAGTTATATGATTCTGGGTTTCATTTAAATCCTATGCAGAATGTTGACAGTTTTGCTTTAGAAGGCAACAGACCTATTTAACTTAAGGCTGCAGTTCTGACTAGCCTTCTGTGTGTACGCTGTGATTTCAATGTCAATTCAGAATTCATAGCCATTTCTTGTTTGAGTTTTCACTTTCCCAAGCTCCTCCCTCTCTGTGAACCTCCCTGGTTTTACAAATCTCCTTTTCCATTTGTTTGGCTAGAAAGCTGGGGCTTTAGTTACCCTTCAATACCAGGTACTTCTGTGACTATGCCTACATTTGGGCCAAGTGGCATGAGGGCAGAGAGAGGAAATAAAACAAAGAGGGTTTGTCCATTCTTTTGAGGCCTCAGCTCCTTCAAATGGAGAGTAAGGTTTCCCTCCCTCAGAGTTTGGGCTCCTGTAGAATCCCACTGGGGCTTGTTTGGGGGCTGTGGCATGAGAGAACAAGGGAAGAAAAAGAACTTAGGGATTTTCCCCACTCTCTTTGAGCATTATGAGTTCCCTTTCTGGCTCCTTGAGGTTAACAGAGAGCTTCTCTTGGAGCTGTCTGTCTGCCTATGGTGCTTGCTTCCCAGTTTCTGGATGCCTTCTGGGCAGGTTGGGGAGACTAGTAGATATGAAAAGCCTAGGTTATCGAGACCAGTGATATCCCCCCACCCCACAGGAGCTGGAGTGTCGGCAACCTCTTTATCTTTGGCCCCTGGGAATTTCTTTCTTTTTTTTTTTTTTATCCTCACCCGAGGACATTCTCCCATTATTTGTTCAAATAGAGTGGGAGGGAGAGAGAGGAAGAGAAAGAGAGAAACATTGACGTGAAAGGGACACATCGAGTGGCTGCCACCCGCACGACCCAACCAGGGCCGGGGACAAACTGCAACCAAGGTACATGCCCTTAGCGGGAACTGAACCTGGGTCTCTCTGGACCACAGGCCGATGCTCTAACCGCTGAGCCAAACCGGCCAGGGCTCAAAATTTCTTTTTCTTTAATTTAACATTCAGCATTTTAAGATGTCCTAATATGTGGTCTATTCTGTAAAATGTATATTCTGCTGTTTTTGCATAAAATGCACTTAAAATATCAATGAAATCCATCTAATCTAGTGTATCATTTTTTTTTTTTTTTAATCCTCATCCGAGGACATTTTTCCATTTTTTGTACAGAGTGGGAGGGAGAGAGAGGAAGAAAGAGAGAGGGAAACATCGATGTGAAAGGGACACATTGAGTGGCTGCCACCCGCACGACCAACCAGGGCCGGGGACAAACTGCAACCGAGGTACATGCCCTTAGCGGGAACCGAACCCGGGCCTCTCCGGACCGCAGGCGGACGCTCTAACCGCTGAGCCAAACCGGCCAGGGCTAGTGTATCATTTAAGGCTGCTGTTTCCTTGTTGATTTTCTGTTCAGAAGATCTATCCATTAATGCCAATGGGATGTTAAAATTTTCTACTGTCACTGTATTACTGTCAACCTCTCCCTTTATGTCCATCAAGATTTGCTTTATATATTCAGGTGCTCCTATGTTGGGTGCATAAATGTTTACAAGAGTTATATCCTCTTGTTGGATTGATTCTTTTATCATTCATTAAGTAATGTCTTTCTTTTTCTCTTATTATAGCCTTTGTTTTAAAGTATATTTTGTCTGATATAAGTATTACTACCCCAGCTTTTTTCCCCATTTGCATGAAATATCATTTTCCATTCCTTTACTTTCAGTCTGTGTGTGTCTTTCATTTTGAGGTGGTTCTCTTGTAGACAGCATATTTATTAGTCTTCTTTTTTTATCCATTCAGCTACCATATGTCTTTTGACTTGAGCATTTAATTCATTTACATTTAAAGTGATTATTTATAAGTATGTATTTATTACCATTTTATTCTTTATAATTCTGCTCATTTATTTTTTTTCTTCTTCTTGAAGAAGTCCCTTTAACATTTCTTGTAATACTGTTGGTGGTAATGAACTCCTTTAGCTTTTTCTTGTCTGGGAAGCTCTTTATTTCTCCTCCAATTTCAAATGATAGCCTTGCTGAGTAAAGTAGTTTTGGTTGTAGGTTCTTGATTTTCATCACTTGGAATATTTTAGGCCAATCCTTTCAGACCTGCAAAGTTTCTGTTAGAAATCAGCTGACAGTCTTATGGGAGCTCCCTTGTAGTTAACTAGTTTTCTGTTGCTGCTTTTAAGATTGTCTCTCTCTCTTGGCATTTTAATTATGATGTGTCTTGGTGTGGGCCTCTTTGGGTTTATCTTGTATGGGACTCATTGTGCTTTTTGGACATGTGTGTCTTTTTCCTTCACAAAGTTAGAGAAATTTTTTGCCAATATTTTTTGAAATAGATTCTCAATCCCTTGGTCTGCTCTTCTTTTGGTACTTCTATAATGCAGATATTGGTATACTTGAAGTTGTCCAAGAGTCACCTCATACTATTTTCATTGAAAAAACCCCCACTATATTTTCTTTTTGCTGTTCTAATTGGGTGTTTTGTGCTACTTTATCTTCCAAATCACTGGTTCAGTCCTTTGCTTCATCTAGTCTGGTGTTGATTCCTTCTAGTGTATTCTTCATTTCAGATATTATATTCTTGATATTTGACTGGTTCCTTTTTTAAAATCATTTATATGTCCTATTTTATGCTTACTATCTCTTAATTTAAGATTTCACTGAGTTCATCCATTCTTCCCGTAAGTTTATTGAGCATCCTTATAACCACTGTTTTGAACTCTTTATCTGGTAGATTGCTTGCCTTTGTTTTTTTAAAATTCTTTTTCTGGAGATTTCTTCTATTATTTTATTTGGGGTATGTTTCTTTGTTTCCTTGTTTTGCCTACCTCTCTGTATTTGTTTCTGTGTATTAGGCAGATCTGCTATGTCTCCCAATCTTGGTATGGTGGTTTTACTTAGTAGGTGTCCTATGGGGCTCAGTAGAGCAGACTCCCTGACCACTTGAACAAGGTGCTTCTGAAGTGTCCCTTGTGTGTGTTATGCGAGCCTTCCTATTGTAGTTGAGTCTTGATTGCTGTTGGCCCATCCATGGGTGGGGGTAAACCTTTAGTCTGGCTGACTGTGAAGCTTGACCCTGACCTCTGTGTACGAGCTGCTGTGCAGGGGCTGACCCCATGAAGTGGAATTCCCCTCAGCAGGGTCTGATGTCTGCTGAGATCTCCCTTTGGAGATCTGATTGGGTTGTACCCTGATGTAGTCTGAATTCTACCACCAGTTGGTTCCGGGGCCTCTTGGGAGGGACTCTGGGGCAGGTGAATATCAGATGCTACCCATGACTGGCCTTGGGCTACTTGTTAGGCGCTACAAGCAATCCACATTTTGTGGCTTCTTCTGCTGGAACTGGGTGCATGTGGGAGGGATAAAGGTGCATACCAAGGTTGGCTTCCTCCAACACCAAGTCCATGGGCAGGTCAGCATAAAACCCAAGACACCCCAAGACCTCTCTTTGCCTGCTGGCTGCCTGTTAGGTCCAGTCACTGAAACATCCTCTGGCGGTATACAAGTTGCATGAAGAATGTTCTAGTGAGTCACCATATAGGGGTGAGTGGTGTTCACCAGATTGCTACATATTCAAACTCGAAGCAAGTGCTGGGTCTGAAGCCACTCAGCAGGTTTTCTATGATACACCAAGGCCAGCTGCCAGCTGCCACCTGCGTGGTGCCTGCAGACCTTTGTGGTGGGGTGGGGTCTAAGGGAATCATCAGGGTGAGGCCAGCAGATTTTATCAGGCTAAAACAGACCAAGATTTGGTCATGGGGAGGGAGAGCTTTGCATAGGAACCATGGCACCAGTCAGGCATGTGCATGGGAAAAAGACCTCACCCTAGAGCCACAGAACTCACTCTGACATTCCTGAGTCTTCCTGAACCTCCTAAAGAAAGTTTGCACTGCTGGCCCAGGCTGGCTGCAGCCAGCAGACTCCTCTGCAGGGTGGGAGCTTGGCAGGGCAGGGATACAGGTATTTGGGAGAGTGAGACTAGTGCTTTCCCCCAGGCTGATGCCCCATGGAGGGTAGTGCTCAACCCAGGAAAGATGGCATCTGTGGGTGGTGGTGGGAGGACTCAGCAAGAGACCTTTGTGGCTGTCCCTTCAGCCCTCTCCCTGAAGCCACACAACCCAGTATCTGCCTGTGTGACTCCAGTCTGCTCTGAGCCACCTTCCCTCCATTGGAGCCCAGAGTGAGTGGTGGCAAAAGACATTTTGTGCACTGACTTTTTAAGAGGATTCCCGAGTTTTTGACAGACTCCCTTCTCTCCCTGGTGGATGGAATCCCTGCTGATTTTCAAAGCCAGATGTTAGGTGGGTTTCTCTTCCTGGCTCTGGTGTTCCAGGCAGAGGAGCTGGTATTGGGTTGAAACCCCTCACTCCTAAGAATAGACCTTTCCAAGTGAGATATCATTCCAGATTCTCATATGACCCATGTGGGTGTGGGGCCAGCTGTTTTTGAGTGTCCTTCCTTCCTACCAGTCTCAATGTGGCTTCTTCTGTAAATCCTTGGTTATAAGACTTCTGTTCAGCTAGTCTTTTCAGGTTGGTTGTTCTATAATTTACTTGTAGTTCTGGTTTGGTCCTGGTAGGAGGTGAGTGTAATTTTTTCCATCTACTCCCTCTCCGTATTGAATCCTGTGTTTTTTAATTAAACTATTAACATTGAATCATCTCTCTGTTTAGCTGTTATGCACTTTGTGCAAAAACAGTAACATATATATTCAACTTGTTAAAATTCTATTTTTCATATCCTACAAATTCAGAGACTGTCTTGTCCCCTCATGTCTGTTATTTAGTACTGTGCCTAGCTCATGATAGATGCTCAATAAATATTTGCACAATTAATACATAATATACTCTTGAAAGTGTACAAAGTTTAGCTGTTTGTGCTCATTATTAATTAACACAAGCTAATATAGATTTAAACAATTTTATTCACAGCATAATTAGAAGAACTATGTTTGTTTTTAATCTGGTATTCTTTTTAAAAAATTAATTTACCATCTTAACCATTTATTTTTTATTTTATTTTTTAAATGTTTTTATTGATTTTATTTTTTCTTATCCTCACCCGAGGACATTTTTCCATTTTTTGTTCAGATAGAGCGGGAGGGAGAGAGAGGAAGAGAGAGAGAGAGAGAAACATCGATGTGAAGAGACACATCGAGTGGCTGCCACCCGCACGACCAACCAGGGCCGGGGACATACTGCAACCGAGGTACATGCCCTTAGCAGGAACCGAACCCGGGTCTCTCTGTACCGCAGGCCAACACTCCAACCGCTGAGCCAAACCGGCCAGGGCTATTGATTTTTTTTAGAGCAAGAGGAAGGGAGGGAGTGATAGAAACATCAATGTGAGAGAGAAACATCGATTGGCTGCCACCTGCATGCCCTGTGCTGGGTATTGAGCCCACAACCTGGGCATGTGCCCGGGCCAGGAATTGAACTGGGACCTCTCAGTCCATGGGACGATGTTCAATTCACTGAGACACACCAGCTGAGCTAATCTGGTATTCTTGAGCTCAATCCTTCAAAGGGGATAAAGTTGTAGGTTGTAGATATGGTCCATGGCAGAACTGAAATCATCATCTTGGTTTCCCTAGCACTATGCCTTATAAGCTGTAGGGGGCTAAAGAGAATTACTCAGCCACATAAATCATGTCACCTCTCCAGTATGTAAACACAATGCCATCAGTATCCTGTGGGCATGAAAAATATAATGTGGGACTAAAGAAGCCAGGCCAGGCAGGGCCAGAGGGAAACCATATCCTCCTCATCTCCATTTTGCTCTTCATGGCAGGAAAGGGACCAGGTGAGGATCTCAGCCACCTCTTCCCTGGGCCACATGCTATATCGAGTTGACAAATTCAAACCTGGATTCGTCCTTCGAAAAGAGATCTACACTTTTTTAGTCCCACTGCTGCTTAGCTTTCAGGACAAAAGCACCGAGGTGGTTAAGGTACTGGTGACCTCTGTCCTTCCGACCTCAGCCTGATTCAACCCCTTTCTGCTAGAGCATAGCCCTTTTCCTTAAGTCCTGTTTCATGATCCCAGAGTTGGGTCTGCACATCTGCACTCACTATATACTTCTTTGGTATCATCCTCTGGGCTGGATCTGGGCACTTCTACCCTTTCTTGGGTGCCATCAGTTTTAGCTTGATATGATTCTGCTCTCTGAAGCTATTTATGTCCTTTGACATGAACAAAGCCCCATGTTTCACCCGATCCCAGCTACTAACCCCCAATTAAACCCCTTGAGGGGTAGCTTCATGGTCTTCTACTTAGCCTCTGGCCTGACTTTGCAGAGTGATAGGAGCAAGGCTTTGAGGATTTCCTTGTCTCCAACCCATAGGCCTGTGGAGGGGCCCTGGCTGAGTGGGCTAATGTGATTGGCTGGTCATCATTCACACAGACATTTCGGCATACCACCCTCAGTGATCACATCCAGGTGTTGGAAGAAACATGCAAGTACCTGGTGAGTGAGAGTCCCTGAGGAAGCCAGGTCACAATATTCATGCCAAGGACTCGATGGCAGGCTAGGTGGGGAAAGAGAAGAGGGCTGACAGAAGATGTATTCTTCCCTTTCCTTGATTCTCATTCTTTATTATCAGCAAACTCTGAGAGCCCACATTTGGGATGCCAGCCCCTGGTTCGCCATATTTGACCCTCCTAGGATCCCAAGCTCTGCTTTCAGAGGCTAGGGACATCATGCAAGGGTAGGATATGGCAATGGGATAGAAGCCTTCTGGTTAGCGGTCATAATAAGAGATACAGGCAGAAGTCCTCAGGGCTTTAGATCAGCAGTCATAATGTTAAGGGTCTGCGGGTTCTATGAAGTCAAGAACTGGCCAGAGATCAGGAATCCTTGTTGAAAAGTAAATTTTAAGGGCTAGACGAGTAGGTTAGGAACTAACATGAGCAATATTATTAATTTGGATTCCTTATATAGATAGAACACTTTACAGTTTACAAAGCACTTTTACATCCATTATCGCATTGGAGCCTTCTATTTATGTAAGGTAGATTAGGCAGGTTTTTAGCTTTTTAATTTTTTTTCTGTATTGAGTTTTAGAGAGAGGAAGGGAGAGGGAGAGAGAGATAGAAACATCGATGAGAGAGAACATCAATTGGCCGCCTCCAGCATGCCCCCATTGGGTATGGGGCCCAAAACCGGGGCATGTGTCCTGACAGGGAATTGAACCAGGGACCTCCTGGTGCATGGGTCGACGCGCAACCACTGAGCCACACCGGTTGGGCTAGGCAGGTTTTATTTCAACTCTACAGATGAAAAAACAAAGGCAAGTGTCAGGGCCAGTATTCAAACCTGAGTCTCCTGGCTCCACATAATTTGTTTTCTCCCTTATCATGTTGGCACCAAAGAACAAAATTCTCTCTCTGAACTTCTTGTTGAGTCTGCACTTTTGTAGTGGGTGGGGGTGTCTAAGTGTACAGGTTCAGGCAGTTTAAGCTGACTAAGACAGAAACTGCTGCTGCTTGTGGACAGGATGAGAGGGCCATGGCTATAAGAAGGTCTTTAGCAGAGCTCCCAGCAGCCCCCCTCTCCTAGTCAGCACCAATCCTCTCTGACTCCACAGGTGAGCACAAGCAGAAAACAGTTAATAGGGGAGTTACTGTTCCAGAGTTTCGGCTTCCTGAAGAGCAGTCAACCCTTTTTACGGGGAGCTACAGTCAATTTCATAGGTAAGGTGGTCTTTCCTGTCAATTTCTTCTTCCTTTCTAGCAGGAAAGCACTCCTTGACCTTTTGCTAAAGGGCTAAGCCAGAACCATGATATGGCGAAGTGGGTCACATCCTCTCCTAGCTCTGACCTGCACAGAGAGGTTGTCCTGCAACCAGACCTCAGTTTTGTGTTAGAAAGGCCCGGGGAGGACAAATAAGCTGTCTGCCATTGTCCTGGCTCTGCGTGCCTCTGCCCACGTTGTCTGCATGCTACTCCCGAGGAAGAGAACTGTATGTGTTTGGAAGGGAAAAAACTACCACTTCAACTGGAACCCCGTGGATTTTCCAGAATATTTTTGTTTTAAACTACAATAACAGTATGTGTTAATGTTAGAAATAGCAAATTATTCAGATTGGCTGAAAGAAGACAATAAGTAATGCCAGAACCTCCATCATTTGAATTTTTTTCTTAAAAATATGTTACACACACAAACACACTCCTATGCACACATATATAGCAGTTTTTAAAAAATGCTTTTACTGATTTTAGAGAGAGAGGAAGGGGGGAGAGAGAGAGAGAGGGAGAGAGAGAGAAAGAGAGAGAGAGAGAGAGAGAGAGAGAGAGAGAGAGAGAGAGAGAGAAACACAGGTCGGCTGCTGCCTGTATGCCCCCTACAGGGGGTCGAGCCTGCAGCCTAGCATGTGCCCTGACAGGAATTGAATCATGGACCTTTTGGCGCACAGGAAATGCTCAACCAATTGAGCCACTCTAGCCAGGCTATAGCATTTTAATTTAAAATTTTTTCTTTTCTTTATTGATTTTAAAGAACTGTCTTTTATTACATGCTAAGCAGTTCTTTTTTTCTTTCTTTATTGATTTTACAGAGAGAGGAAGGGAGAGGGAGAGAGAAATAGAAACATTGATGAGAGAGGACATCGATTGGCTGCCTCCTGCATGCCCTCCACTGGGGATTGGGCCCACACCCTGGGCATGTGCCCTGACTGGGAATTGAACCAGTGACCTCTTGGTGCATGGGTCGATGCTCAACCACTGAGTCACACCAGCTGGACCAGGCTATAGGACTTTAAAAAAAAAATACAAACTCTGATACACGGCTGTATCACAAATACATGCATTACATACTCATCAACACTATTATTATTATTATTATTTTTGTTAATCCTCACCAGAGGATATTTTTTCATTGATTTATTTTAGAGAGAGTGAAAGGGAAGGAGGGAGGGAGGGAGAGAGAGAGAGAGACATTTAAGTGAGAAAGACACATTGATTAGTTGCCTCCCGCATGACCCTGACCAGAGTTGGGATCGAATATACAACCCAGGGACATACCCTTGACTGGGAATAGGGCTGGGATCAAACATACAACCCAGGTACATACCCTTGACTGGGAATCGAACCTGTGACCTTTCAGTCTGACATTCTAACCACTGAGCCAAACCAGCCAGGGTTCATCAACATTATTTTTAATGACTGCATAGTATTAATTCTATTGTACAGATGGATTTAGTTTTGAATATTGAGACTGTGTCATCTTTTGTTTTTGTAGGCAGGGGCATAGTGGTTAAATCTCTGCATGTCATCATGATTATTTTGTTAAGATAAATTTCTTCGATGTAGAATTGCTGGGCCCAAAGTGTATGCAAAATTTTAAGGCTTTTGGTACTCATTGCCAAACTACCCTCTTAAAAGTTACAATCATTTTCTATTGTCATGAGTATGTACGTGAGTATCCATTTCTCCAGACACTTGCCAGCCCTGAGTAATATGTTTTAAATAGCATTACCAATTTCATAGGTGAAAAAGAGCATCTTGTTGTTTTAATTAATATTCTTTTTAATCAGCAACAATGTTAAATATTTTTTTGTATGTTTATTGGCCATGCACATTTTTGCAAATTAGTTGCCTTGTCCATCATTCTGTTGGTGCAAGAACCCCATGAAGTTTAACATCCTTGGCTTGGCCTCCACTTGTCACCTGCTGACAATGCTTCCCGGGTCACAGCTGCTCTGAGGATTGTTCTTTCACTAGGACATTGATATGTAGGCAGCAAAGCATCTCTTAGATACGTTCCTTGCTAAAAATGGTTTACAAATGTCCTTGTTCACTGCTGAGCCTGGGGACAGGGATAGCCCAAAGGTCCAGGAATTCTGGAAGGACTTTATACTTATCCTGTCTTTAGGATTAATTATTGAGAAGATAAACCTGCATAACATACATGAGGATGATGTGCAGCTGTTACTAAACTGTGAGTCTGGGCTTCATACCTGGGGTTCTGGGTTCCAGAAGGGGAGTTGGGGCGAGATAGAAAGGTGGAAGGGGAAATTCCTTAAGGACATGCCGTATTATTTTAAATAAAGTTCATTTTTACCAATATAAATGTTATATCTAAAAGTGGAAGTGGAGAGGAGTAAGAGGGAGGGAACTATTCGTCATAGTATGAGTTGGATAAAAACACTGCTGACAGGATGCTCTAGCTGCTGCACCTTTGTCACATGCTTTGGCGCTGACACTGCAGTGCTGTGCAAGGCAGACTGGACCCTGCCCCAGGAGAACTGGCTGTTTCGTTTTGTTGTTTACTGCCTTAAAATGTTTAAAAATTAATTTATATTTATAGAACAAATATGTAAATAGAGTTCTTTGCAAAAAAAAGGGAAACATTATGGATAAAAGCAGAAAGTTCTATTAACACCCAAGTCTTACTCTTTTCCCCTCTCTCCCTGCCTGTTGCTATATAGTCCTGGGTACACATAGAATAAATAGGTATATGTTATATATATACTATATAAGTGATATGTAATCTATATCACATATGCATTATACGTAGAAACAGTTTCTGAAACTTGCTTTCCCCCCACTTAGTGTGTTGGTACATATAGATCTATTGCATTCCTAAACACTTGATAGATTAATATTTACGTTGTTTCCAATTTTGTCCTATTCAAACAACACTACCATGAACATTCTTTTTTTTAAAATTTATTTTATTTTTAATTTTATTTTTGTTACACGTTTCTCCTTTTTTACCCCACTGACACCCTCCTCCCCATCCCCCTGCCCCATCCCCGGCTTTGTTGTCCGTGTCCATTGGTTATGCGTACATGCATGTAAGTTCTGTGGTTTATCTCTTCCCTCCCCGCAACAACCCCTCTTCTGAGGGTTGTCAGTCTATACCGTACTTAGGTCTACCCTATTCCTCATACTGTTATATTCATTATATTCCACAAATAAGTGAGATCATGTAGTATTTGTCTTTTTCTGCTTGGCTTGTTTCACTTAGAATAATACTTTCCAGGTACTTTGATGTCGTCTCTAAGGATAAGAGATCTTTCTTACAGCTGCAAAGTACTCCATTGTGTATATGTACCACAGCTTTTTTTTATCCATTTGTCTACTGATAGACACTTGGGCTGTTTCCAGATCTTAGCTATTGTAAATAGTGCTGCTATGAACATGGGGGTACATATATTCTTTCTGATTGGTGTTTCAGGCTTCTTAGGGTATATACCTAGAAGTGGGATCACTGGGTCAAATGGAAGTTCAATTTAAAAATTTTTTTTTTTTTTCATCCTCACCTGAGGACATTTTTCCATTTTTTGTACAGATAGAGTGGGAGGGAGAGAGAGGAAGAGAGAGAGAGTGAGAAACATCGATGTGAAAGGGACACATCGAGTGGCTGCCACCCGCACAACCAACCAGGGCCGGGGACAAACTGCAACCGAGGTACATGTCCTTAGCGGGAACCGAACCCGGGTCTCTCCGGACCGCAGGCCGACGCTCTAACCGCTGAGCCAAACTGGCCAGGGCCAATTTTTAATTTTTTGAGGTAACCATATTGTTTTCCATAGTGGCTGCACCAGTCTGCATCCCCACCAGCAGTGTACTAGAGTCCCCTTTTGTCCACACCGTCGCCAACACTTGTTGTTTGATGATTTGTTGATGGCAGCCATTCTGACAGGTGTAAGGTGATGCCTTATTGTTTTCATTGGCATCTCTGTTATGATTAGTAATGTTGAGCATTTCTTCATATATCTCTTGGCCATTTGTATGTCCCGTTTGGAGAGGGGTCTATTCAGCTCCCCTGCCCATTTTTTAATTGGGTTCTTTGTCTCCCTTTTGTTGAGTTGTATGAGCACTCTATATATTTTAGAAATTAACCCCTTATCTGATGTATCATTGGCAATGATGTTCTCCCATACAGCGAGTTGCTTTTCCATTTTGATGGTTGTTTCTTTTGCTGTGCAGAAGGTTTTGAGTTTGATGTAGTCCCATGTGTTCATTTTTTCCTTTGTTTCTGTTACCTTAGGTGATGTATCAGTGAAAATTCTGCTGCGTATGATGTCTAAAATTGTGTTGCCTACATTTTCTTCTAGAATTTTTATGGATTCACGTGTCACATTTAAATCTTTTATCCATTTTGAGTTTATTTTTGTGTATGGTGTAAGGTGATGGTCTAGTTTCATTTTTTTTGCATGTAGCTGTCCAGTTTTCCCAACACCATTTATTAAATGTCTGTCTTTACTCCATTGTATGCTCTTGTCTCCTTTGTCAAATATTAATTGAGCATAGTGTCTTGGGTCCATTTCTGGGTTCTCTATTCTGTTCCACTTGTCTATATGCCTGTTCTTGTGCCAGTACCAGGCTGTTTTGATTACAGTCGCTTTGTAGTATAACCTGATATCAGGTATTGTGATCCCACCTGCTTTGTCCTTTATCAAGTTTGCTGTCGCTATTCGGGGTCTTTTTTTGTTCCTTATGAACTTTTGAAGTATTTATTCTAGTTCTGTGAAATATGTCATTGATATTTTGATGGGGATTGCATTGAATCTATAGATTGCTTTGGGTAATATGGACATTTTAATGATGTTAATTCTTCCAATCCATGAACAAGGTATGTGCTTCCACTTTTTTATATCTTTCTCTATTTCTTTTTTCAATCTCCTGTAGTTATCTGCAAATAGGTTTTTTACTTCTTTGGTTAAGTTATTCCTAGGTATTTTAATTTTTTTGCTGCAATGGTAAATGGGATTGCTTTTTCAGTTTTTCTTTCTGTGAGTTCATTATTGGTGTATAAGAATGCCGTCAATTTCTTGACATTAATTTTGTGTCCTGCTACTTTGCCAAATTCATTTATTAAATCTAGTAGACTTTTGATGGAGTCTTTAGGGTTTTCTATGTACAATATCATGTCATCTGCAAATAATGACAGTTTCACTTCCTCCTTTCCAATTTGGATCCCTTTTATTTTTTCTTCCTGTCTGATTGCTGTGGCTAAGAATTCTAGTACTATATTAAATAAGAGTGGCGAAAGTGGGCATCCCTGTCTTGTTCCTGTTCTTAAGGGAAATGCTTTTAGTTTCTGCCCATTGAGTATGATGTTGGCTGTGGGTCTTTCATACATGGCCTTTATTATGTCAAGGTATGATCCCTCTATTCCCCCATTTCTGAGTGTTTTTATCAGAAATGGGTGCTGGATTTTGTCGAATACTTTTTCAGCATCTATTGGTATGATGTGGTTTTTATTCTTCATTTTGTTTATGTGGTGTATCACATTTATTGATTTGGAAATATTGTACCATCCTTGAATCCCTGGGATGAATCCCACTTGGTCATGGTGAATAATTTTTTTGATGTGTTGCTGGATCCGATTTGCTAGTGTTTTGTTCAGAATTTTGGCCTCTATGTTCATCAGGGATATTGGCCTGTAATTTTCTTTCTTTGTAATGTCTTTTTCTGATTTTGAAATTAGAATGATTGTGTCCTCATAAAACGAGTTTGGAAGTCTTTCTTCTTCTTGAATTTTTTGAAATAATTTGAGAAGAACGGGTGTTAGTTCTTTTTTGAATGTTCGGAAAAATTCCCCCGTGACGTCATCCAGGCCTGGGCTTTTGTTTGCTGGGAGAGTCTTGATTACATCTTCAATATCCTTAGTTGTTATTGGTCTGTTCAAGTTTTCTATCTCTTCCGGGTCCAGTATTGGGGGACTGTGTGTTTCTAGAAATGTGTCCAGTTCGCTTAGATTGCTGAATCTGTTGCCTTATAATTGTTCATAGTAGTTGTTGATGATCTTTTGTATTTCTGTGGTGTCAGTTGTTACTTCTCCTCTTTCATTTCTGATTTTGTGTATTTGGGTTCTCTCTCTGTTTCTTGGTGAGTCTAACTAAGGGTCCATCAATCTGGTTTATCTTTTTGAAACACCAGCTCTTTGTCTCATTGATCCTTTGAATTGTTTTTTTGGTCTCTATGTCATTTATTTCTGCTCTGACTATTTCCTTCCTTCTACTTGCTCTCAGGTTTTCTTTTTCTTTGCTTTCTAATTCTTTAAGTTGTGAGGTGAGATAGTCAATTAGAAATTTTTCTTGTTTCTTGAGGTAGGCCTGTAGTGCTATGAACTTCCCTCTCAGAATTGCTTTTGCTGCATCCTATAGATTTTGTTTTGTTGTGTGTTCATTTTCATTGGTTTCCAGGAAGTTCTTAATTTCTTCCTTGATCTCCACGGTAACCCATTCATTGTTTAATAACATGCTATTTAGCCTCCATGTGTTCAAATGTCTTCGCATGTTCTTGTTGCAATTGATTTCAAGTTTCATGCCATTGTGATCTGAGAAGATGCTTCATATGATTTCAATCTTCTTGATCTTCTAGAGATTTAGTTTGTGTCCTATCATGTGGTCTATCTTTGAGAATGTCCCATGTGCACTTGAGAAGAATTTGAATTCTGTAGTTTTGGGGTGTAATTCTCTGTTGATATCTATTAAATCCATTTGGTTTAGTGCTTCATTTAGAGTCTCTGATTCCTTGCTAATTTTTTGTCTAGAGGATCTATCCAGTGGTGTCAACAGGGTGTTGAAGTCCCCTGTCATAATTGTATTGCTTTCAGTTGTTCATTTGTAGTCCTCCAGAAGATTTTTAATATATTTTGGTGCTTCTATACTGAGTCCATATATGTTTATCAAGGTTATATCTTCCTGTTGGATAGATCCTTTCAATATTATGTAGTGGCCTTCTTTGTCTCTAGTTATGACCTTCATTTTGAAATCTATTTTATCAGATATGAGTACTGCAACCCCAGCTCTTTTTTCTTTCCGTTTGCTTGGAAGATTTTTTTCCATCCCTTCACTTTCAACCTATGTGTCTTTTGTTTTGAGGTGGGTCTCTTGTAAACAACATATAGATGAGTCATGCTTTCTTACCCAATCAGCTACTCTGTGTCTTTTTATTGGAGCATTCAGTCCATTTACATTTATGGTGACTATTGATATGTAATTATTTATTGCCATTTTTGCTTAGTTTGGTTATATTTTTCTTCCTATTTCCTCTACTAATTACAGCAGTCCTTTTTAACATTTCTTGCAGTGCTGGTTTGGTGCTAATGTATTCCCTTAGCCTTTTTTTTGTTTGTTTGTTTGTCTGGGAAGCTCTTTATTTGACCTTTTGTTTTGAATGACAGCCTTGCTGGGTAGAGTAGTCTTGGATTCAGATACTTGTTTTTCATGACTTTGATTACTTCATGCCATTCCCTTCAGGCCTGTAGTGCTTCTGTTGAGAAGTCAGCTGATAGCTTAATGGGGATTCCTTTGTAGGTAACATGTTGCTTTTATCCTGCTGCCTTTAGGATTCTCTCTTTGTCTTTAATTTGTGGCATTTTAATTACTATGTGTCTTGTTGTGGGCCTGTTTGGGTTCTTCTTACTTGGGGCTCTCTGTGCTTCTTGAACTTGAATGCCTTCTTCCTTCACCAAGCTAGGGAAGTTTTTTGTCACTGTTTCTTCAAATATATTCTCTAACTCTTGGTCATTTTCTTCTTCTTTTGGAACTCCTATGATGCGAATATTGTTATGTTTCCAGTTGTCCCACAGTTCTCTTAAGCTGTCTTCTTGTTTTTTAATTGTTTTTCCTTTTGGTTTTCTGATTGGTTGTTTTCTACCCTGTGTTCTAATTCACTGACCCGGTCCTCAGCTTCCTCTACTCTGCTGATTATTTCTTCCAATGTGTTCTTTATTTCTGCTATGTCATTCTTCATTTCCACTTCATTGGTTTTCAATGTTTCTATATCTTTATCCATGGTGTTGATGTTCTTACTCATGCTGTTGAACTTCCTCAAGATCATGGCTCTGACCTCTACTTCTGATAACTTGCTTAACTGCATTTCATTTATCTCATCTTCAGTAGAGTTCTCTTGTTCTTTCCTTTGGGATTTGTTTTTTTTTTTTGTTTCCCATTTTGTCTATCTCAGTGGGTTTTGGAGCCTGCCAAATTTTCCCTGTGGGTGTTGGTATTCTACTGTTTGTGGCTCCCTCTACTGAGTTTGGATGCATGTTTGAGGATCCACATTAAACACCACTTTCAAGTCTTAATTTGCTGGGTAGATTTGCAAGCCCAGGAAAGGTCCTGTTATCCTCTTGCTTTTTGCCTGGAGGCTATTAGTCTCAGTTACTTGATGAACCTTGGGTTGTAGCCCTCAGTTGAATGGAAAACTCTCTGAGGTGTTCAGCATAAGAGGATTTCCAGAGGGTGGGGCAGATGCTGGTTGTTAATAGCCTCAATTTGCATTTCTCTGGACCAGCTGTGTGGGGTTAAATCTCTGAGGGAGGGGCTGCTGCTTTTCCCCAGAGCTCCAGGAAGGAGCAAGATGGCCACTGTCCTGTGTGGCTGCGGCTCAGCAAAAACTCTGAGCGTCCTCTAAATCTCGGGTCTCCCCACAGAGTTCCAGTCCAGTTTGTCCTCCCTCTGCCAGAGCCCAAGGTGAGTGTCTGTAGCTGATTTAGTGATCTGTCCTTGCCCTCTGTGCTGTGGAGCTGGCTCGGGATTTCAACCCCAAGGGGGCTGCTCACAGCTCAAACAGCTGCTGTCCATGGGCTCCCAGCCCGCCTCCTTGTGCGTCCACAGACCTACCAGGCTTGATTCAGTGTCCTCTTTTCCTGTCCCTGGTTATATGGTCCTCTCTAGCTGCTTTTCTGTTGCCTTTTCCTGACAATTTGTCTTTATTTTAGTTGTAATTCCAGTTTTGTCCTGGGAGATGGCCTATGTAGCTTTCATTCACTCTGCTGCCATTTTGGAATCTCTTTGAAAACAGTTTGTATTTAAACATTTTCTACAATAAAACAATATTACTTTCACAGTGGCAAAAACTATACTAAATGAAGTTATATGATAATCTGACATGTGGGGTAGGAAATAATGGGCTTTGGGTAAATAGTCCTTGGAGACTGAGAATCTGATTGACCTCCTTTCTGATTTCAGCTCTTGAAAATGTGAAGAATGATCCTGTGGAATTGAACCAGACTTTGGTCATCAGTCTTCTGAAAAACATTGAGGAATATGTTAATCTTGGGCACAGCTCTACTTCTATTATGACCCCTCTGAGACGTAGCATCTTCAAAATGCCTGGCAGGAAAGCCTCAAGAAGAAAGAGGCGACTATTTAAGACTGTCAAACGAGAAGGAGATAATGATGTCAGTCGGAGAAGGGATTGGTTCCTAGGCCTTCTAAATTCATTGTACAACTGTTTCAGGGAAGGGTAAAACACAGTCCACACAGTCACAAGCACCAAAGTCTGAAAGTTCCCCTGAAGAATCTGGGTGTGTTCAAAACAAGTTGCTCCAGAGTCACTGTGAACACTTAGAACTGGGAACTGAAGACTTTTCCAATTGTTTATCCAGATGTCAGTGCTAGACCCTCCCACCTTTTGTCCAAGTGGATGGGCTACTTTGGATGATACCCAAATAGGCAGTTTTGAGGTTAGAAGATACAGTATGTTCTTTGTCCTTGATCTCCCCTAGGGTATTGTTGTCTATGAGCATATATATATACATTTGTAAATAAATTTATTTTCTCATACTAAAACAAGATGGCTTCCATCCTGGTTTTGGGGGGCTAGGGGATAAACCTAGCGACAGAAACAGCTCTGAGAGCATTTCCTTCGACCTTCAGGTAAAGTTTGAAATAAAGGAAGGAGTAGGGTGATAGAATCACATGGTACCTAGTTTTTTATCTTTTCCCTCCACCTCTACACAGGTTGCATGAAATTTGCCTGCTTGACACATTTCCATGGATGTATTCAGATTTCAGTTCAGAGCATAAAATGTGGGCTTCAGTTACGTACAGTGGAGCAGCAATAACTCGAACCCTCTCTCACTCAAGTTAGCACATCCAGTTGCTATGAAATGACATTATTGTCAAGAGAACTTTGACTCCATTCTAATTTATTTTACAAAATTATTCTAAACTTAGATGTGAAACTTGCCCCCTCTGCCATACACCAGCCATTACCGACTAGTTCTTTATATTTCTGCTGCACTCTGTGCTTCATTTCCTTGTGCCTGAGTTTTCAGCTACAAAATGGTATTATAATACCTCCTGTGGTATTGTCCTCCCATACTCATTCTCCCCTTTTTCCTTTTTTGTTTTTAAAACTGTGCATTTGTTTGCCTAGAATAAATAATATGTTTCCCATCTGCCCTTGCAGTTAGGTGTGGCCATATAACTAAGCTCTGACTGAGTGGGTGTAAGGGAAAGTGGCATATGCAGCTTCCAAGAAGTGTTCTTAAATGCCAGGGGCACATCCATTGTTGTCCTGCCTGTCTTCCTGGTGACCAGAATGTAGGCATAATAGTTGGAACGAAGCTTGGACCATCAGGAAGAAGTGATATATTGAAGATAGCAAAGTTAATAGAAAGAACCTAGATTAGTTATGAGAATAGAGCTGTTAACCAGTTTGGATAGCTTACTCTGCAGACTTTGTTTATCTGGAGGATGGGAATATAGAGAAAATTTTATCTATTTTAACCAACACTGTTTTCTGTCACCACTAAACCTAATCTGATGAATTTACTGAATCTTTTAACATTGCTATAAGTATTAAAGGAGATAATAAAAATAAAGAGCTTAGTAGTTGGTCTGGCATTAAGTAAGAAGGCAATAATTTTTTTCCAGAAATTCATTAAACAGGCTATTGGAACTGGGTTCTGAGAACTTTGAAAGGTGTGGAAAGACCAGAGAATTAATTCCCACTTTGGTCAAATTGACTTATTTTACTTCTTTGAAGTTAGCATTGATCAGAATGATTTTGATTGCTTCTTAATTTTATGAACTTTTACATAAAATATTTCTTTTTTAAAAATTAATTAATATATTTTTGTCACAGATGTTTCTCCTTTTCCCCCAGAAACCCTCCTCCCTATCCCACCCTCCTGGTGCCCTCCTCAGGTTTGTCAGTCTGAACCGTACTCCTTTCTATGTCTCTGGGTCTGTTTTGTTCATAAGCTTTTTTGTTCATTATATTCCACAAGTAAGTGAGATCATGTGCTATTTGTCTTTCTCTGATTGGCTTATTTCACTTAGCATAATACTCTCAAGGTCCCTCCATGTTGTCCCAAAGGATAAAAGATCTTTCTTTCTTACAGCTGCATAGTATTCCATTGTGTATATGTACCACAGCTTTTATCCACTCATCTACTGATGGACACTTGAGCTGTTTCCAGATCTTAGCAATTGTAAATAGTGCTGCTATGAACATAGGGGTACATATATTCTTTCTGATTGGTGTATCATGCTTCTTAGGATATATTCTTAGAAGTGGGATCACTGGGTCAAATGGCAATTCAGTTTTTAATTTTTTGAGGAAATACCATAGTGTTTTCCATAGTTGCTGCACCAGTCTGCATTCCCACCAGCAGTGGACTCAAGTCCTCTTTTCTCCACATCCTCGCCAGCACTTGTTGTTTCATGATTTGTTGATGGAAGCCATTCTGGCAGGTGTGTGGTGATACCTCATATTCATTTTAATTTGCATCTTTCTGATCAGTGATGTTGAGCATTTCTTCATATGTCTCATATTTGTATGTCCTTTTTGGAGAGATGTCTATTTAGGTCAAAAAATTAACAAGGATACAGAGACTCTAAATGATGCACTAGATCAAATGGATTCAATAGATATCTACAGAGAAATACACTCCAAAACTGCAGAATTCATATTCTTCTCAAGTGCACATGGGACATTCTCAAAGATAGACTACATGTTAGGGCACAAACTAAGTCTCTACAAGTTCAAGAAGATTGAAATCATATGAAGCATCTTCTCAGATCACAATGGCATGAAACTAGAAATCAATTACAACAAAAACATTTAAACACATGGAGGCTAAATAGAATATTATTAAACAATGAATGGGTTACCAAGGAGATCAAGGAAGAAATTAAAAACTTCCTGGAAACCAATGAAAATGAACACACAACAATACAAACTCTACGGGATGCAGCAGAAACAGTCCTGGGAGGGAAGTTCATAGCAGTACAGGCCTACCTCAAGAAACAAGAGCCCTGGCCAGTTTGGCTCAGCGGTTGAGCATTGACGTGCAGACCAGAGAGTCCTGGGTTTAGTTCCCACTAGAGGCACGTACCGCAAAAAAAAAAAAAAAAAAAAAAAGAAAGAAAGAAACAAGAAAAATTTCTAATTGACTATCTAAACTCACAACTTAAAGAACCAGAAAGCAAGCAAACAAACAAACAAACAAAAACCCAGAGCAAGTAGAAGGAAAGAAATAGTAAAGATCAGAGCAGAAAAAATGACATAGAGAATAAAAAAAGAATTCAAAAGATTAATGAAACAATGAGCTGGTTCTTTGAAAAGATAAACAAGATTGATGGATGCTTAGCTAGACTCACCAAGAAACAAAGAGAGAGAACCCAAATAAATAAAATCACAAACCAAAGTGGAGAAGTAACAACTGACACCACAGAAATACAAAAGATTGTTAACAAATACTATGAAGAATTGTATGCCAACAAATTGGATAATCTAGGCGAAATGGACAAATTTCTAGAAACTTGTTGTCTCCCAAAACTGAACTGGAAAGAGATAGAAAACTTAAAAAGACCAATAACAACTAAGGAAATTGAAGATGTAATCAAGACTCTCCCACCCTGGCCGGTTTGGCTCAGCAGTTGGTGCATCAGCCTGTGGACCAGAGAGTCCAGGGTTCAGTTCCTGCTAGTGACACATACCAAAAAAAAAAAAAAGACTCTCTGAGCAAACAAAATCCCAGCCACAGATGGCTTCACAGGGAAGTTTTACTAAATATTCAAAGAAGAAGTAACACCCATTTTCCTCAAACTATTCCAAAAAATTCAAGAACAAGGAAGACTTCCAAACTCATTTTATGAGGCCAGCATAATTCTAATTCCAAAACCAGATAAATATACTACAAAGAAAGAAAACTATATGTCAATATCCCTGATGAACAGAGGTGCCAAAATCTTTAACAAAATATTAGCAAATCAGATCCAGCAATACATCAAAAAAATTATTCACCATGACCAAGTGGGATTCATCCCAGGGATGCAAGGCTGGTACAATATTCGCAAATCAGTAAATGTGATACACCACATAAACGAAATGAAAGATAAAAACCATATGATCATATCAATAGATGATGAAAAAGCATTTGACAAAATCCAGCACCCATTTCTGATAAAAACACTCAGCAATGTGGGAATAGAGGGATCATATCTTGACATAATAAAGGCCATATATGAAAAACCTACAGCCAACATCATACTCAATGGGCAAAAACTAAAAGCATTTCCCTTAAGAACAGGAACAAGACAGGGATGCCCACTTTTGCCACTCTTATTTAACATAGTACTGGAAGTCTTAGCCGCAGCAATTAGACATGAAAAAAACATAAAAGGAATTCAAACTGGAAAGAAAGAAGTGAAACTGTCATTATTTGCAGATGACATGATACTGTACATAGAAAACCCTAAAGACTCAATCAAAAATCTACTAGATTTAATAAATGAATTTGGCAAGGTAGCAAGATACTAAATGAACATCAAGAAATCAAGGGCATTCTTATACACCAATAATGAACTCACAGAAAGAGAAACTAAAAGAAACAATCCCATTTACCATTGCGGAAAAAAAAAAAAAAATTAAGATACCTAGGAATAAACTTAACCAAAGAAATAAAGGACCTATTTGCAGAAAACTACAGGACATCGAAAAAAGAAATAGAGGAAGATATAAAAAAGTGGAGGCAGCCCTGGCCGGTTTGTTTCAGCGGTTAGAGCATCAGCCTGTGGTCCAGAGAGACCCGGGTTCAGTTCCCACCAAGGGTGCGTACCTCGGTTGCAGTTTGACCCCAGCCCTGGTTGGGTCATGCAGGTGGCAGCCACTCGATGTGTCCCTTTTGCATCGTTGTTTCTTTCTCTCTCCCCCTCCCACTCTATCTGAACAAAAAATGGAAAAATGTCCTCAGGTGAGGATAAAAAAAGTGAAAGCATATACTTTGATGGACTGGAAGAATTAACATCATTAAAATGTCCATATTACCCCAAACAATCTATAGATTCAATGCACTCCCCATTGAAATACCAACAACATATTTCACAGAACTAGAACAAATACTCCAAAAGTTTATATGGAACCAAAAAAGAACCCCAAATAGCCACAGCAATCTTGAATAAGAACAAAGCAGGAGGGATCACAATACCTGATATCAGGTTATACTACAAAGCGACT